AATATGTTAATGTACTGATCTGAATTATAATATTTCTGACTGTCTGAGGCAAAATTTCCCAGATTCAAATCGAATTGAATAGAATCTAATCGATTCAGGACCCTGTGAATCGGAATCGAATCGATTCTAAACATCAGTGACGATACCCAGCCCTAATCAGGAGTTTCTGCTGTTTCTTCAGTACTGCAGCTCTCCCTATCGTTTACAGAAGCAGCATTCGTTTGTAACACCAAGTCAACCTTTTCCATCTTTTTGTGCTGATCTTTGTATTCTCCATCCTTGTTTTCGATCACTTGTGCTTCCTCCTTCTCTTCAGCTTCACTGTCTGATCTCAACTGATCCGGTGTTGAAGGAGTGGAGTATGTATCGCTGGCCAGCTCTATCAACGGAGAGAAGGGTTGGGAGATGAAGGGAGAGAGAGAGTAGGGGACCTTAGGAGAAAGAGATGGGGACTGATAAGGCGAATGGGAGGGAGAAAGGCTGGGTGAGTCATTAGGAGAGAGAAAAATGTGCATCTTGGGAGATGCAGATGGGGACTGATAAGGGGAAAGAGAGGGAGAAGCACTGGGAGAGTCACGAGGAGAGAGGGATTGAAACATTTTGGGGAAAAGAGGAGGTGGCTTAGACGACAGTGAGGCACAATTGGGGAAACTGATTATTGGACAGGGTTTCATGTAGTCTGAGTCAGCTGGGAGATGCTCCTTCATTGCTGGTGGCTGGGCAGTAGCCTCCTCTTCTTTCACTCCCTCTTTACTTTGGCGTGCTTCCATCTGCTGCTCCTGCATCCCTGGCTGGATCTGAGGAATTGCTGATGAAGGCTGCGGTTGACCACCGCTGGGATCGTTTTGCGTCACCGGCTGGGTATGGCCGTCTTGAGCAGTTTGGCCTTTTCTCAGCTCGAGTGTTTCCTGTCCGCTCTTCTGGGCTTTACACCTCCCCTTGGTTTTTGGCATTAAAGGTGGCGGAGGTGGTGGAGCAAGCGGGGGCGACAGCATGGTCGATGTCTCTGTTGAAACCCGGACTTTGAGGCTGTGCTTGAACATGCGCCGTCTGGATAAAGTGCTCTGAGACTGCAGGAAAAGAGGGTTGATGAAACAGAGAGCGCCCAGCCCAGAGCCACAGTCCAGCTCTAAGGGACTACGCGTGGTGATCGGGCAAAACTCGTGGAACAAGGTGGAATTTAGAGACGATTTCTGGGCGGCAGCATCTGAGTCAGGTGCAGATTTATGCTGGTTGTCTGAGTCTGGCTGTGGAGCTGAGTCAGACGGAGCTGGAGAGCTTGACTGCAGTGCAGACGTAGGCAGGGCGGAGGTTGCAACATCTCGCTTCTTCTCCTTAGCTTTTCGGGGCTTAGGTGTCTCCCGTGGCCCACGGACATTTAGGTGGGAATTCCAAAACTCTACACAACAAAAAAAATGTTTTGGTTATTTTAATAAGTTCATCACCAAATTTTACTGTGATTCTAATGCGAACAGTGATTTATTGAATAAAGTTAACATTTTATAAGCTGCATAAATTCAACATCATTGTGACAGTAATTTACTATTGATTTATTTTTTATTAAATTCATATTTTATACATAAAAGAATTAAGTAAGCAGAGGACAGAAAAGATGCACCTACACACAAACTTCCCCCAGTGGCTGCTTGCTAACCTGCGGCTGAGACATAATTAATGATGTGCTTAAATAAATCCTGGAAGATCAAAGTATCTGAAGTTGAGCATGCTTACAAAATCTTCTATTGGGGAAAAATGAAATGACCAACCTATTCCCATGTGTGAGATAGACTCGAGCTCTTTGTGCGATGATGCCCTCGCTATTGCGTCAGGAAGCTCCAGAGGGAATGGTAGCACATCTCTGAAAAGAAACATGCGCCGCAGAGATTAAAAAGATCCACATTAGTTCTTGCACATAAACAGATATTGGAATGGATTCACGTGGAAAAAGAGGAAGAAGTGATGACAACGTAATAGGACTTGAGCAAGGTTAAAGAATCAAAATTATACCAAAGAACCACTAAGGAAACCGAGAATGAGGAAGGCAACATTTTACCTGCTAACACAGTAAAAGGAAATTAGCCTTGGAAGGTCTGGAAAGCTGATGGCTGAAGTCTCCAGAGACAGAGCTGCGGATGAAGAAAATTCAAATGTCAGGGATGTTTAGTGCGAGGGAACGCTGGCTGGTATTAATAATACAGCTTATCTGAGGAATTATTTAGTAGAATATTGGGTCTTTGGCCTGGAGTTTTACTTTAAAAGAAGACAATGAAAGGCATCTTTGCTTTTATCTGAATTCTAGTATTTATGTGTAAGTACTGTGTAATACTACAGAAATGATAGTGTGTAGTTGTAGATTTAAAGCGGTCTGATATTTAATTACAGCATCTTCAGAATGAAAAGATTTTAAAGCTAGGTTAAATAAGACTCATAGAATTGCTGACAACACTGCACTCATCATGGTCTGTGTGCGTGTATTTTTTAATTTTTATTTGTTGCAATAAATAATAAAGTAAAAACAAGCAAATGGTGTATATAATACCTAGCCAAAAGAATATAATTAAAGAAAATGCCGATTTACATTTATATCCAGCACACGAGTACAGTGTTGTTGCTTCTCCTTTTTAAATGAGAAATTAACTGTGATTAACCACTTTTTTTTTTTTGCTCAATGTTACAAGCCACTCCCAGGCATGATTACTGCCCGACCTGCTGGATCAGGAAATAAATTAAATCGAACCTGTCTGACAAAGTGATGTGGGCTGAAAGATCTCAAAAAGCAACAGATCATGCCATGATATAAAGACACTCAAGAAAAGCTGAGAAACAAAGTCACTGACTTCTATCAGTGACTTTGTTTGGTGCTTTGAGACTCCACCAAACCACAGTGAGAGCCATTATCCACATATGGAGTAAACAGTGGTGAACCTTCCCAGGAGTGGCCAGCTGACTAAAATTACTCCAAGAGCACATCGACGACTCATCCAAGAGGTCACAAAAGAACAACATCAAAAGACCTGCAGGCCTCACTTGCCTCAGTGTTCATGATTCATCAATAAGAAAGTGACTGGGCAAAAATGTCATACGATGGCAGACCATTCAAACTTGAAAACTCTCTAATATGGCTGAATTCAAACACTTCCTTCCCATCTTTGATGCCTTAATTAATGAAATTATCTAATCAAAAACTGCATTTTGTATTTACTTTGTCTAATATTAACATTTGCTCGATGATCTAACATAAGTATGGCACATATGCAACAAGAATAAAAGAAATAAGGAAGAAGCTACATAACTTTTTCACAGCACTCTATTAAATGTTAAGATGCTTTCCTAAAGTGTGAGTGGACTCTTCCAAAGACTACCAAGTGTTGAGGTAATGCTCTTACTGCCTTGCTCCTCTCTGATACCAAACTGCTGAACAAACGATGGCACGCTGTCATCCGTCAAACGCACACAGAGCACGTTTCTTTGGGACGTGCGAGACTTTCGCACCAGGAAAGTCTGCAAGACAACACAAGTGATTACTGAACGCAACTGGGAGTGCATAAGAAAAGGTAGGAGAGGAAATGTGGATGTGTGTTATGTCTGTGTCTCAGACCCCGGGAGGTTCCCTCTGCAGTATGTGCAGTGCTGTGGCTGGGTTGATTGATAGCTGAAGCCAGACGGGCACTGTAAGCAGGAGACGATCCAGTACACTGATGTTTTTCAGGGAACCCTGACCCCTCAGCTTGCGCTCCGATACTTGGGTGGGCTCTGGGAAATCGTACAGGGGTTCTTCTTGCTGTGCCATCTAAACACATATGCATACAACAACAATGTGCTCCAAATCACCATGCAGTCTCATAATGCTACACGTGGTTATGGCATCCTTCTGGATCCCAATAATGACAGAAAGACGGGTGAGACTGCTGCACACAAACAGAGACACACACTTGTACCATAAATCTGACTGGATTGGACCGGCAAGTCCAGACTTGGTAAAGCACAGCAGCTCAGACAGAGCTTAAATAAAATAGCAACCTATGGTGAAGATCTTTAAATTACAGACACACCGACAGCAAACACAAACGCCACAACAGTCATTAGATGTTAAGTAAAAAAGGAGCAAATGTCAAACTGACACACTTATCCTTCTTAATACGAACACATCAATGGGCTGAATTTGACCGCAGCCTATACATGTCAACTTCTGTCTGGACCCGCACGAAGTACATTCCTCTAAAACTTGCACATTTCCACCGCAAACTGCGCTGCACGCAGGCTTCTAGCGTTACAGTCATGTAATTGTGTGTCACAGCACGCTCATCTTATTTTTAAACAACCAACTCAAACTGTTTTACTACCTCTCTGCTCCGATTCTTCTCCTTCCTTTTTCACCTCCGGATCCACTTTATGATGGCATGCTTCGTGTTCTTCCACCAGCTTTTTATTTTTTTATTTTTTACTACAATAGGAAGTTTACTTCTCTTTCACTCTGGCCTGTCATGACGCGTGCTCTCCGATCTGAAGATGCCTTCTTTTGCTCCTCCTCCTAACCCACCTGATCTCACCTGGAGTCAAGTCAAGTCATCATGACGTCAGACTCACGTGTTCTAGATCCACATAAGACTTGAGTTATGTCTTATTTTTGTATTACTTTTTAGTACAGATAATAGTAACAAGTCGTTTTAGAAGAGGGGTTAATTGGTTTAAAGTCCTGTAGTTACAGAACCCATAGCCTCCGTTCATCCATTTTGTTAGTGCTACAGTCTACTTTAGCACATTAGCGCGAAGATATGCAAGTAAAATAGTGGCTTGCCAGTAAAGTGACCGTCTTGGTGAAACTGCGCCCTCCATGTGTGCAACCCTGCCTCAGGAAACCGGATACGGATGTGAGGTTTAAATACGACAGCTCCAGGACCGCGTTGGGTAAGGCTTCTGTGTACTTTGCTGGCATAATTCAAAATTTTTGTACAAATATGAAAACTAGACGGGCTTAGTTATTTTTTTTACGATAACTGGTAACAGAGACCTGGCTTTAGCTTTGGTAGACGTTTGCTACCACTCAGATAAAACCCTCTACGTTAGCGTTAGCTGGCGTAGCTAACATTAGCTAATGCTCAACAAGATGGCCAGGAGTGTCTGGAGTTTTAGCGTGCTGCTGGTCGTGTAACAGTGCTTATAGTAAGCTATATAAACAGTTACATGTAGCTATTTTTCGTCTTTTACCATTCTGCGGCTAACCTAGGCATTTTACACACTTTAATCTGGAGGCATTTTCGCCGCCCAACTTAACGGTTTTATTAGCTTAGCTAATAATACCTCCTGGCGTCGCTGCGGCGACTGCCAAGTGACAATCCGGCGAATACGCAAATAGCTATAAAAAAAAACCCCGCCTGGTAATAACGCCAAATTGTGTGTGTGGGGGGGGGATCAATCAGCTTTGATAGGCCTTTCGAGATTTTTTTTCAAGACAGCAAATTTCCTGTTGAGATCTACTAATCGTCTAGCTAGCCTGTTGCCGTTGCTCAAATCACAAATGACCGTATGTTCCCCGCGTCATGTTTGTTCTCTTGCAGATGCCTGGTTTTTACAGAGATGAGCGGTGAGAACGTGAAGTTGTTTGTAGGGAACCTTCCTATAGATGCTACGCACGAAGAACTGAACAAGCTCTTTGGTCCATATGGAGAGATCAACACCTGCTCGTTGCTGAGACAGTATGCTTTCGTTACCCTGAAGGGAGAGGGGGCAGCAGACAGGTATAATTGTTACACTGGCCATCACTGTTATTAGATATAATTAGTGTTTTGCGTTCCTAAATGATGTTGTACATCTCGGAAATCATGTCAAAAGGAGTCATGTAGTTTACATGAAAACATACATTCTTTTCTGAAAGTATAAGAGCAGACTGAGTTCATTGTATTTAGTCATTTAAAGTAGTCCAGCTTTGTCGTTTTTAAACATGCGTCAGAAATGCAACATTTGCATTAGTGATGTTCAGTATGTGTAGTAAAGTAAAGCTAACCCCCAAAATAATTTTGGCTTATCAGCAGACTCTTAAATAGAGTATTGCACAGACATCTGCCATGCATTGCTCTGTGTCTCTTTACTTAACTTTGTTCTGACCAGTTGCACTAATGTGCACAGTGGCCTTCAAAATCCTATTGTGAGTTAGGAACATCATATGATAGATAGAATCTATCTATTCCAAAACCAGAAACGTTCATTTATTTTATCATCAAGGTTGTTATACTTAAGTAAAACTAAACATTAAAAAAAAAACATGTCATAAACTAGGGCTGGGCCATATTATACCGTTCACGGTAATACCGGTATAATGTTAGGCAACGATAGGAAAATGAAATATCGCGATAGAATGGGAGTAAAACGCGCATGCGCAGTGCCTTTGTTTTCATACGCACATGGCCGATTGTTGAGTGAAACAGATGAACCAGAATTGGTTTGTAAAAATGGTGCAACTTCAGTGATGTGGAACTGGTTTGGTGTTTGTCCGTCAGATACACGACAAAGCACATTTTTTTGCAGAACATGCAAGCGGCCGTCGTTATTGTCGTATTTGTCGGACTAAGATGCTCTTAAATCTGGGAGTAATCTGGGTCCTAAACTCCGTATGCTTCAGGTCAAACAACACTGCAGCATCACTAGAGTTAAAAACTGTCTAAATTCTTTCATCTTTAATAAAACGATCAGCATTGCTGCTTTACCAGGTGTAACTATGAAGTTTAACTTCCAGGCATCCATGAAAACAAAATTTATTACATTTAACGGAGTTAGAAGTTAGCAGGAAGCTAGCGGAAGTTAGCTCGCTAGTTTCGCTAGTTACCTAAGCATGATATAGCATGTTCTGACTGAGAGATTTCTGAAAAAAATCAAACGTACAGCTCTGCTATCACTTCCAACATAAATGAAGACAGGAAACTAAACAGCAGTGACGTTTGTAGGGTTACTGAAGTTGGGCTAGCTGGTATATAATGATGTGCTACGTGATCGCTAGCGACACAGCTATGTTAGCATAATAAACACAGTGAAGCTGGAGGACGAACACTAACACTTTTCCACTTATAAAAGTTAAGGTTCCTCATAGTTAGAGACAAATGCAATCGCATGGCAGGATGCTGTAAACGGACCAAACTTCAGTCAGGAGAACAACTGAGATAATCCATCCACAATACGAGGTTAGTCATTAATATACTGCAACAACATGGGAATAGAGCAGCTGCCAGAGAATTCAACATTAATGAATCAATGGTACAGAAGTGGAGGAAGCAAGAAGAATGAGTTAATAAAGTTTGATTTATCTGACTGCTTTGTTTCGCTTAATGTGCCTTATAATCCCGTGCACCTTATGGTCCGAAAAATACGTACTGCACACTGCAGTTTAATGTTGCAAAGCACCTCTTTTTAACTTCAGTGGATATTATACATGGTTATGCTCAGGATATGTCAGCCCATTTCTACTGGAAATGCCTTTTGGTTAAACTTTCAGCAAGGAATTTGCATTTGCACTGTTACATTTTTATAAAGCTTTAATGTACATAAAAACCAGCTTCTTGTTTAAGTGAAAATAAATGGAAGGTTGTCTTTTTGCGCTAGTAATGTTGTGGAGTTGTATTTTGTCTCGCATCAATTATATCGTCAGTTATATCGTTATCGCAAATTTTCAAATATATATCGTGATAAATATTTTTGGCCATATCGCCCTGCTCTATCATAAACTAGACTTTAGTTAAATAAATTGAAACAAGTTGAAATGTCTTTAGTTTTAATGTTTGAGAGTTTAGTCAGATTTAGTCTACATGACATGTCATTCTCTTTCACAGTTTGATTTTTTTGGTATTGTAGTACATATTCTGAACCTCTTAAACGATACAGTTGGTAAGCACTATCTGCATTGTAAATAAATGATGTTTTTGTTATAGTGTTAAAACAACTACACAGAAATGAGTCCACTCTGGGAACTACATATTTGTTACAGTACAACAATCATATCAATGAGTTATACAATATAAATTAAAGGTTAAAAGTAACAAGTATATACATATTTGACATTTCCACTGCTTTGACTGTTTAAAAGTAATGACTAATTATAAAAGTAATGACTAATTATAAATCCCAAGATCCATGCATAGAAGCTTAATTTGACCATTTGCTTAGCTTCACTTTCCTGCTTAATACTAGTCTAATACAGTAGAAGCCTAAAACACATGCAATAGTTTACAGTTTGCAGACACCTTAAAAAAATGTCTGAGTGGAGACAAACAGTTCAGATACAAGAATTGTCTCTTTCATTATTATTAGAAATTGGAAGACCTAGGTCAAACAATAAAAGTAACAAAGTTTATAAAGGTATGAAAGAAGCAACAGGCTGCAGTATCTGAAAAACTAAGATACTAAAAAGAAAACAGGAACAGGACCATTCTCTCACCAAACACTGTTGTGGTCTGACTAATTACAGTAGCTGTTTACTTCCTATTAAAGTGCAGTTAGTAAAACAAGGAAAGGCTGCAGCAGTATTTGTTATGCTGGTATTTGATCTCTTCCATAAAGAACTCCATTAATTCTTCATGGCATAGATTCAACAGGGTCTCATCAAAGATTTTGGTTCATATTGATGTGAAATCATCTGGTCATTGCAGATTTGTCCTGCCTGCACACCTATAATGTGAGTCTGCTCTTCCAGCACATCCCAAAGGTGCTATTTTGGGTCAAGATCTAGTGACTGAAGGACATTTAAGTACAGTAAACTGATGGTCACATTCAGAATAAATATTTACCATATGAATGTTGACTCAATCATGAGACCAGGCAGTTGTTGTCCAGTCTTCTATTGTCCAATTTTGGTGAGCCTGTGCAAATTGTAGCACCAGTTTCCTGGTCTTGGATAGCAGGAAGTTGGTGTTCCATACTCAAAGTGAAATTGCCGTTCTTACTCATTCTGATGCTCAGTTTGAACCTCAGCAGGTAGTTTTCACCAAGACTACATATGTAAATACCTTGAGTTGTTGCCATGTGACTAGCTGATTGGATATTTGCATTAATGAGCCTTTGAATAGGTGTGCTTAGGGAAATAGGCAGTGACCATATATTGCAGTTAAATGTTATTACTGATAGTCTCATCTGTGGTTTTGAATGTGTTTATGATTTAGCTGTTCTTACGTTAACAGGGCGATACGACATCTTGATGGCAAAGAGTACCGAGGCAGACCCCTGGTAGTCGAAGAGTCACGAGCACGCCCACCCAACTCCACTAAAGTGTTTGTGGGGAACCTCAGCGCTACATGTTCAGCAGATGACTTGCATGGGCTGTTCTCAACCTTCGGAAGAGTTTTAGACTGTGATAAAGTCAAAGGTAACGTATAAAGCCTTGTAATCTGTAAAGATTGTGTGTGAGAGAAATTTGCATCAGGATTTAATTAACTTGAGCTGGTTTGAATAAGAACAGATTTGGGGACTTTAAACTCTGAGCAAGTGACTTTTCTGGTTTGCATCGTGGTCCAATCTTTCAAGTTGATGTGACATAAAATATGGGATGCACACATTTCATTGTAAAAATCAGCCTCAGACTAATGTTGACCTTTCTCTTTCCTGTAAACTACAGCAAGGTTATGCTCAAATGTCGGCTATGCATTCGTGCATATGGAGAGGAAGGAGGAAGCCTTGGCGGCTATTGAGGCACTCAATGGGACCATGTTCAAGGGGCGTCAGTTGGCTGTAGAGCTGTCCAAAGCCCAACCTCTGATAAACCAGATTATGACAGCCGGAAATTCAGCTAACCCCACAGGTGCTGTAACAGCAGGTGATGATGAAAGGGCAATTTGTTTTCCAAGAAATGAAAGGCAGCTTATGTTGTAATCATGTTTTCAGCAGGTGGCAGAGAGGGTCTTCTTCCACGACCGCCTCCGTCACTAGAGCATCATCAGAGTCAAGCAGCTGTGCTTGCTGCAGCTGCAGCTGCTGCAGCTGGATTACCCATACAAGTAAGCATATTCACCACCAGGATGTCCACTGCCATTTGAAAGCCTTCTGCTCATTGTTTTTCAAAGTAATGAATATCACAACTTTTTAGGAAACTTTATTTTCAGTCAAGCCTTTTATGAACTTTAATTTGAACTCCCTATATTGCACCATAGAGTTTAGACGGACTAGATTTAAGAATTTTCTTTTGTTGCAGGTTCAACAAAGTGTCCATAACTCTTTCTACAACACCACATCCTTTGACCCCACCTACGCTGCTCTGAAAGGGATCACCAGTTCTAAAGGTGCAGATGGAGTCATATATGGAGCTCTTGCCAGCCAAGTGTATGGATCTGTAGCTGACCAGGTGTTTCATGAGCTGGCAAATCACAATTCTGCAGCGGCCGCAGTTGAGGAAGAGGTGGAGCCCCAGACTGTACCAGATCCAACAACACTTTTCGAAGCAGCGAGAGCCAAGTTCTTTCAGGAGGGACAGAAGGTCTGTTAACTTTGGAGTAAAAATGTCTTGTGTGCTTGTGTGTCTATTATTGTGTTTCAGAGACGGTCATCTTATCTGTGTTGTTTTTTTTGTTTTTTTTTATGACTCAAGGTTCTGGCAGAGCAGCAGGCAGGGAGAAAGGCAGCACCTTCAGATAATGAGCGGGACCGCAGCCCAATACGAGGAAATCGAGCTCCTCTCCTCCCTGACCCTGTTCCGGGTTCATTTGCTCAGATACGCCCCAAACGACGTGCCCTGCTTCCAACACCACCTGGAGCACCTGAAGACCCCGTCGCTGCCACCACCACCACAACTCCTGAAGGAGCGGATCCTGTTGCAAGGTACACATAACATTTAAAGAGCAGATAGTGATAGAAGAAAATTAAGCTTAAACCAGTTTATGATAATATAACATGGTCATATTATTGAGATTTGTGTGCCTTTTTTTTCCTGCTTATTCTTACCTTTTCTTCAACTCTAATTTTGACTCAAGGTCATATACAGAATACTACCAACAAATGCATCAGTACCAGCAGTATCAACAGTACCAGCAACAGTACCAGTACCTCCAGTATGCCTACACCAATCCTCCACCACCACCTCCGCCTCCACCGGCAACCACACAGGCACCTGCTTCCACCACAACCCCTGCACCACCAGGGACATATACAGCACTCCCAACATATGCCGCATCGGATTCCTATGCAGCACCAGGAACGTACGACACTTCGGGAAGTTATGACGCCTCATCGGGGAGCTACGACGCTTCATCCGGGAGCTACGATGCCTCGTCTGGAAGCTACGACGCCTCAGCGGGCTATGACACATCTGGAGGCTACGGGGCACCGGGAGCATATGATTCATCGGGAGCTTACGGAGCGGGAAGCTACTCCACCTCCACACCGTATGAGCAGACACCCGCACACGGGCAACCCATGCCCCCGCGCCACGATTACCCTTACCACACGCCAGAACCCCCTTATCGATAGTCCCACCCCCCTCCCACACGCTCCTTTACACATGGCAGATGTGTGATTGTGTGTGTGCGCGTGTATGTGTTTGTGTGTGTACGTCAGCGAACATACATAAGGGACAGTTTAAAGGCGAAAAACAAGAGAGTGGGCAAGGTTGTGATTCTCCCCTGTTTCTCCATCTTGACCAACTAGTCTCTCAATGGATGATTACTCTGTTAAGTGGATGATTATGAGCTAGCAAGGTCTCTGGAGTAGTGGAGATGAGGGAGGCAGCTGATACTGGAGTGCTGTTAAGCATTTATAGTTCCTGTTAGATGTGATATAGAGGCACAGCTGGTTCCTTGTTGAATGTTAAAGCTTAAATTTTGCCTCAAACAAGGTCGGACTCAGAAGGTGGGTTTTTGTCACTTCAGAAGAGCTTTTTGTTCGGTGTCAGGCGAAGCCATTTTATGTACTCTACATAAAAGATTGTTGCTGCATGAAATGTGCAGTCTGGCAACTCTTTACATCATCGTATATTGCAGACAAAAATACAAAGTACAGATAAGTAAATTATAAACCGGTTTTATCCATGGAAACATATCCTGTACAACTGGGACTGTATGACTTTGTTATTGTTTTTATAAAACACTAATTTCTCTACAGGCCCATGATGTTCATTCATGACGGCCAACTTTGGGTTGGCTGCAATTTAATGTGCTGTTGAGCTGTATTGCTTTATACTAATTGTTTCTATAATTTTGTCCCCTTTTGTATATCTGTCAGGGTGTTGAAGAAACATCTCTTTGTATAATGTTGTTCAGTTAGACAGCACCTCAAACTGCAGTCTGCTATGAAGAACACAAAGTTGACTCAGCACGTCTCCAACAATAACAAAGTACAAACAGTTGTGCTTGCATATTTGTTGTGGCTTTTGTAGAGTATGTAACGAGGCTTAGTCTGAAGTCATTTGTAGCGATGCTTTCGTAACAATAAACCTGTTTTGATCAGACGCACAACCTCTACATGTAATATGGTGTTTGAAGATGGAAAGCAGAGCTGAGGTAAAAGGAAGTTTGAGTGGTTAATCAAATTGATTGTTTCATTTATTGAGGAAATTTGATCCCGTACAGATTGAAATTGTGTTGTTAAATTGACCAGATGGCATCTCAAATAATGTATCAGGCTGGTTTCACTTAAGCCCCTTTCAGACATGGGATAGAAAACATCAGTCTTGTAGATTGACAGCACTTGGATCATACATGAATTCTTCTCACGGCTTCGTTCAGGCACACAAACAGCTTTCAATATATCCAAAAGACCTATCTCACTGGTGTCATTGGGCATTGTAAGCATCACTCTGTAGATGTAGTTTCACTTGAGAACATTTGTTCTCTCCTTCCTCGTCAGTACCTGCAGGGTTTCTCTGATTTTGAGTGTGTGGGCTGCCGACTGAGCAGCTTCTCCCACACAAGCTCAGAGACATCATCCTGTCTTCTGGACTGAATAAAGCAAACACATACACTTGATTATTGTTTTTGACGCACATGTGACAGCATGCATCCAGACATGCACCATATTAAAAGAAATATGTAAGTCTTACTAGGTAGACCTAGTGAGATTGCTGTGTCTGAAAGGGGTTTTAGCTGACGGTGTAGTCTTAAAAAAATAAAAGAATGGGGGCTGTTCACATGAAAACATTTCCTGAGCTTACTCATTTGCAGGGTGAGAGGAGTGACTTTGAAGTAAATTTCTAGACCATCCTCCTAACATACAAGAGTTGGACTGGTTTTTGATGGATATAAGCAGTGTGTGAATAACCTGCTTGATGTTTCATAGTTTTGCTATTTTGGGCAGTATCGATTAAAGCAGAGTAGACCCACAAGAGTGCATGATTTCAGTTGAGGTAGATGATTATAATTTACCTTACTTTTCTTCCCCTCTTGGCTTTCTGTAAATCTTGAGGTCTGTGCAAACAAAAATATGTTCCAACCTCAGGAACTGAATATGTCCTGTCAGTTTTTGCTTTAAAGGTCGGTTTTGCCTTTAAACGTCAGAACAGTCTTCACGTAATTTAGTAGTTATTCACACTTAGTTCTTGTTTTGTGTTCAATGCATCCACATCTTTCTCTGATTATAAGCAACATTCAGTTGTTCAATAGTTTTGGGGGTTTTTTTGTTGGTTTTGTATATATGTGAATTTATAAGAGCCAGGAGGAATGTCAGCAAGCGATGCATGGCCAATGGAGCTAATAGAATTTGAGCAATTAAAATTCAACTTTTAATTTTTCTTTCCTCTTTATTTTTTTATTTTTATTTTTTGACATCTTCCATTAGTTTCCTTTTTTTTTTTTTTTTTTTTTTTTTTTTTTTTTTTTTTTTTTTTTTTGTTTGTTTGTTTGTTTGGAAGTCTCATCAGCTTCTGTCATACCTTTGGTCTCATGGATAGCTGTGGTGATTTAGACGGAAAGAAAATCTACAATTTGGTACAAATGTAAATATTTAAAAAGATGCCAACCAACATTTGGTAGGAATATTGACTGTTAATAAAAACATAGTGATTGTATTTCTTTCTAAACAGTTGGAGACCTGGTGTAATTGGACAGTTCAGTTGTACCAGACTCGTAAAAAGAGGCAGCCGTTTGTATGGCAGGGAGGGATTACAGTTGTGCTGTAGCATGTAGTGAGTGATGGTGAGTTGTAGTGGCATTGGCGAGTGAAGTAAAAAGAGAAAGCAACTGTGTGTGTGTGTGTGTGTGTGTGTATCGAAGGGTTTTAAGCTGAGCAGACTTCAGGTGATGTTCTCAGTGCTGATGGTGATGCGAAAGTCGTTTTGGATTTTGTAGAGGCCACTGATTTTTCCCGGGCAGAAGTGAGAAGGCACGAAGACCTTTCCTTTTCTCTTCTGATCTCACCAGAAGCACACACAGGATTTCTCAGCATCCAAATCACACCTAGACAACTTTCACCTTATAACTGGGTTAGTTCATATAATTTATAACAGACAACACGTGCGATGCAGTGCAAATAATACTAATGCACACCTGATTCTTCTTGCATTTCATGACTCTCAATAGTTGCTCCGATGTGATTGTACCACACATTAGCTACTCGCATTACTTCTCATTCAGCACGTGAACTGATAGTGCTGCGATTATTTTTCAGTGACACATAGCCTCTCTACATTTCCACATTATTCCACCTTCTCCATGTGAACTGTTAGTTGCTTGCCTTGTTGTTGCTGCTGCTCCAGCCACCTTCTTCCTCTTGCTGATTATTGCAGCTAGAGTGGGAGGGAGCCAAACTGAGCCCTTGCCCTGGACGTACGGCACACGCAGCTGTAGCGTGGAATGGGGGAAAAAAGCAGCGTTAGGCCTGAAACTGCTGTGGACGATGGGGGGTCTCCCCACTAAGGTAAACACTCAGACCACACACTCAGACCCCTCCCCGAAACACGCCTACACACTCACCAGCACACACACGCCGTACAGATGCTCCTGTGTCCATACTTCTTACTCCTCACTTGCCTTCAGGGATTCAGATTTGTCCGGATTTTGGAATTTTTTTTATTTTTTATTTTTTGAAACAACTCACCCATCTTTTTTTTCTCTTCTTATTAATGTTTGTTTGGGTTTTTTTTTTTTTTTGGTTTTTGTTTTTGTTTTTGTTTTTGTTTTTTGTTAAATGGGAGATTTTTGTTTTTTTTCCTCTTTTCGTTTCCTGTTCAAATCCTTACATTTCCCCTCCCTCCTCCCCTCAACAAGTTTTCTCTGCTCATACATTCCTGCTCCTAATGTGACCACTCTCACACAAGTTTTTAAGGACATCTGTGCCCCCTTTAGTCTAAATCTGAACACACTCTGCAGCAGGCATGTTGTTGTAAGTACGTCCTGTTTCAGCCTATCACCGAAGAGCACCACAGCCAGAGTCGGGGACATTTAGATCGATGGGTTGTCTTAGTTTTTCTAAAAGCGCCCCTGCGGCCTCTTCGGGGGTTAAGTGCCTTGCGTAAGAGCACAGTGGTAGGGCCTCCACTTCAGAGTTGAATAACCTGGCTCAGGATCGGTTGCTGGTTCAACGCTCGACTCCCCCCGTCTGAAAACGTTTTTTGATGCCGCATTCAACTTGTATGAATGACGATGAACACGGATGCGACCATGTTGTTTTAAATTACATTTTGTCCTATGTTCTTTCAAATGTTTAATTATCAATAAAATGAATTTCAACTGAATGAAACAATCTCTGTGTGAATATTTGAAGATGCAGAAAGCTTGGCGGGTTTTGCCATATAAACTTTCAGGGCTCAGCATCAGATGACATTTTATTCAGTTTTTTTTCCAAAAACATCAATCTATGCTTTTTCAAATAAAAACCAATACTCTGATAACAATCCAAACCTGATAATTGAGTCGTTTTTAATATACAAAATAAGTAGTTGAAGGTATCGGACTTCCACCTGCAAACAAGACCTTTTCATGGATACTCACTGAGTTTCATGCCCTCAACAGCAATTAAGTTTACAAATGGACACTACAGTACTGCATGGGTGTAGTGAAAGCAGTATACACTAATATACTGAGGTAACATGAGGAGTAGGCCTGTGTATGTAAATGGGCAAAGGTGGAACAGTGAAGGTGAAACTGCAGAGACATCATGCACCATTCATTGGAATAATGGTATGGATATGCAGCAGTTTCTACTCTGGTAATAAATGCCTCCATCAGCCAGATTAGTTTTTGAAGTAGCTTCACTAATGAATACAAACACTTGTTTCCTGATGAGTGTGCAGTCAGTAAATAATTTAATTGGGGAATTTTCCATTCTGGGCAATGCCCATTGTTAAACATACTCTTTAAAGGTGACCTATAGTGTTTATTTTTCATTTCTGTATATTCATTCTTTTCTAGGGTAGCTTAGCACAATTCGCAGTTCAGTTCAAGCCTCTGTCCATCCTGGGTCTAAAACAAACCTTTTTAGCTCATTTCCTTTTAAAGCTGTCTTATTCTGATTGGCTGTCCTTTCCAAACAGATGGTTTGAACAGCAATTTGGCTGTTCCTGCGATAACCAGATTAACCCTATAATGCCTATTTGATACATGGGTTTTTGTGACTTCTGAATCAGTGTTTTTTGTTTTTTTTTTCCTGAAAAAGCTGAATGAAATGGCGCAATAAATTGGACAGAAATTATGGACATAGTAGAAATTATACCAACTCAAATGCAAATTGATTTTTAAAAAAATTGTCAGAAGGTTCAATAAACATTCCAGTTTCAAAAAAAAAAAAAAGAATTTTCTTGCAATTATTGCATGGATATTGTCTGTGTGACTATTCCAATCTAAGAGAGGTGGGGGGACTTGGCCACTCACTTCATTTTTATGAAACCCATGTTTAAGATAAGCATGCACTTTTGAAACATTGTGTTAACCTTCTACATCCATTGTGCACCATTAGAGTGTAGGTAAATGTGTACACTGAAAGTGGAGGTTCTTTTTATTGTATTGTATGGAAAGGTAAGATGTGACTGCAAATAATTGTCTCCTAAAGCTTTGCCTTTCAAATCTTATTTCATTGGGCTTTAGAAAGTCCCACCACAGATAAAATACTACAATTAGTTTGGCTCAAAGGCTTCATGCTGTGTCCCTTAATCTACCATAGCGAGGTAGAGGGAATGTGAGGAAGAATATAATATTAATAAACTATTCTTAGAAGGGGGAAAAAAGAGACATGACCAAGAGATGTGGGTAATGCTACAGATTCTTAATTTACCCATCTGCACTAACACAGTTGGGCTGAAAATGATGCCATTGATCTCAAATCCCAACCCCCACATCTGTACATTTCTGGTCCTAGTTTTCCAAAATTGCTCAAAACACACTTGAAGCATCTCATGGACTTAAGACTGGCTTAAGAGGAAACCGGTCTGTGCTTTAGGGTATGACTAAGAACTGATAAGTCTAGTTTATGACGACAGGACGAGACTGGGCAAACACATAAAGAACACCACACAATGTGGACCAGACCAAACACGTATTACAGTACTTGGACTTTCAATCACGACCTCTCATGATGCTGCTGGCATAGTATGAAAAAGGAGCAAGCATTCAAACACACGTATTGAAAATAGCAACGCTTTAATAAAGAGCGATTTTACAAGACTGCAATGTCTAGCTAGCTAGGTGATAATCGACATTGACATCCATGATGTTTTACAGAGATGCAGATATGGTAACTGTGTTTGAAGTTTGATGGGTTACTTGCAAGTTGCATTTCTGCATGCGAGGCAGCCTTCAAACAGTTACGGACCCCTACATTGTAAAACAGTTGATTTATGAATGTCAATGAGTGTTCATGTCAAGAGGTAAGTAAAAAATCTCATGGAGAAATTTCCTTAACGTTTTCCAAACACACCGGTAAGTGAGAGTTCACACAATGGTCATGCTTTTACCGGGCACACAAGCCAATAAAAAGACGACACTTAATCATGCAAAAAAAAGACAGTTTCTTTGTCTCTAAAAATAAAAGAACGAAAAAATTCCTTTGAGTTCTGATATCATCCATCCGTAGTGACTTTGAATAAGAAGAAGCTGCGCTTTGATGATGACTTTGGTGCAAAAAATGTTCCTGTTTTGAAGAGGACAGACCCTGTCCTGTCCACTTCCTTGATGAAGACACTCTTGGTATAGACCAGTTGTGATAGTTTACCCCCATAAACCCCAGCCCTCCCGACCCCACCCTTACTCCTCCAGATGGACACAAACATCACAAACATCAACCCTAACCCACCCCGCCCATCGCTGGATGATGACACCTTCAAAGTACAACCATTCAAACACAGATACAGCAATAAATTGTCCCACGTACAGTACGTCATCCAATGGGGCTTCGATCACTTTACAGAGAGAGAGAGCACGTCTAAAAACACATGAACAGCATTACCTATATACAGAGGACACAGTAACAGTCAGAGGTTGGCCCAGGATGGATCGAGCTCTGTTGGTGGGAGTGAAGTGCACAATGAAAAGCTCATTCATCTGACGGAGAACGACAAATAACTGCAACAAGGAGTAATGGCGCGACATTTTCCCGAAGGAAATACCCAAATCTCAGCTGACCTCTTACATTTATGTTCATTCAAAAGTGAAACCTCGAAGAGAACATCTGCCTGCCCGGTGATTCCTAGCACAAATCTCTCTCTGCTGGTAGTAGAGTTGTAGCTGCGGTGAGACTGGTTTTTACATAGCCAGCAGTTACAGTTGCGATTCTTTATTTTCTTTTTTTTTGTTAGAAATCACCAGCCTGTGCACTTCCAGCTCTTTGGAGAAGTTTGCTTCAGACTCACTTTGACTGATTCCACATCTGATGACTCGGGGGTTTCTTTTCCCCCCCCCGTTTTTTGCGTTTTGCAGCAGATGAGTGAACCTAGAGCCACCTTAAAATGATGTGATGTTGTACAGACACGGTCACAATAACACTCATTGCTAAGTTAGTACAAGCTACCAGCTCGATAGAGATGTGTAACCTCTAACCGAGGAACATGACCCTGTTTATCTCTATGGGAAGGCATGTGCACACAAACACACATACAGTACATGTACATAGAACGGACACAACCAATAAAAAAAACGACTTCATACCCAATTGATTATTGCCCCTTTCGACTGTACATCCCAGCAATGATTTTAGGTTTTTGTGCAGCAGAGCATTGTCCCCTCTTTGAAGGTTTGTGCTATATATATTTTTATATATATCATCTGACTGTGAGTCTAACTCGACCTTGGATCTCCTAGAAAATCCACATTAACATTTAATGTCTCATTAGAGCCTCCCTGTCTCTGGCTGTCCGAATTAATCTGCGCGCCGTCGCTGCGGGCTTTGCTCGGGCCGCGATCGACAGACATTACGCTCAGCTGCTTTCCACTGCTGTCGTTCACTTGATGCTCCAGACTGACCTTTAGCTGTCCTGTCCATAAACGTTCCACTCTACATTAATAACTCGCTTCTCAGTGGCTCTCTTTAAATCCTCCCAGTGGAGGTGAGACTTCTACCCTCATCCATTTTTTTTTTAAATTTTATTATCTTTTGGGGTGGGTAGGGTGGGGGTGATAAGGACTTGACAGGAGACTAATTTTGGACAGGACAAATGCTCAGGACAGGGAGGATATCATACAGCTGGGAGTTCGACCATTACTGATTGCTAGATTGAAATTCACCTAATGTCAACTCACCTCCTGTGTGGCTCTCAGTGCATTTTTCACAACTTTTAGAGCAGTTCAGTTGTTATCAGAACAGCTTAGAAAACGAGAAAAAAAAATCAACAGTATTCTGTACAGAAATCTCATGTGGACATACAGGAACTCTGACACTACAGCAGAAAAAGGCTTCTAACCGGGCTACAAATGGGTGTATAATGAGATTGCATGATATTGCACGCCTGTAGAAGAGGGCAAAACCCCCCAAAAAACGAAACGAAACACAGTGTGTACATCACGTCCCCAAGTAGCGGAGGTTTGTTTACATCCAAATGTGATGCCTGGGTCTGGCTCAGTGCTTTCATCAGTTAATTCCAGTGCAGTAACATGTTGGTACCTGGCAACACATTAATGACATCAGGTACCAAAAGAGAAACACGCTGTAGCACACCCTACACAGCTCCACGTCCATCCACAATCACACAAGCGTGCCAATTGTTTTACGCCCGATTCTCTCTGTGAAATTGGCAATTAAGAACAAATGGAGCTCATAAAAAGACTCAAATGGATACGTGGATGCAGCACGCTGAAATGTAGAAAAAGGAACGCACGCACGCGCAGACACACGAACACACACGCACGCATTCAAATCAATAACTTCTGACATCAGGTGACGGATGGATGACACGTTACCGGGAACCAATCGGAACAAGATGCTAAAAATCACCTACACAGAAATACACCCTTGGCAAAGGTCACATAGAGTAAAGTGCCAGCAAACGATCCAATCAGAGAAAGAGACGCGTGTCCTCCAAGTTTGATTCAGCTGAGGGATGGAGAGAGATGCGGGTAAGCCTTTATACAGGAAATTATCAGTATGATGGGGTGAGGGGCGGGGGGGAAATGGCAAAAGAGCTTCTGCACTTCCAACGAGCTGTCAGTCCTCATAGTGTCATCACAGGTCGTAATTGCCATTTGAACTGGCAAATCAAGCAGAGGATGAATGGGACTAATGCAGAGCCTCTGGTGCCCCAGCACTATA